TTCAACATCCAGGACCGTTAGGAAGGGAACAAAGACCTTCCAAAATTCATGCCTCTCCTTGGCGCCACCTTGTACGTTCATAATTTGGGATGGGAAAACCAATATATTTATTTTCAGGTTAAAAATTTGAGGAAGTAGTGGAATTAATTGTATGGGTGAAAATGAAACTGATTATATTTTTCGAGGTATTTTCTAGCTAACTACTGGAAACAATTCCATACCAGTCCAACTGCTTAAAAACGATGAAGGTACCATGTATAGTCTGATATTGATCTAAGGACAATTCGGTATTCAAGAAATAAACACTTGCAATTAGTAGTCGTTTATACGAATCCTTACATAGATTTCGGGAGAATGTAATTCGATATTCTGCATTCTGCATGGCATTAGGCAGAAAAATACTTGTTTTTGTTCCGTCATTTACCATTGTTGTTGGTCATTCCATTGAACACTTAATAATAATGATGATAATAAACGTCTTTTTTTCCAACCACTATAATATGAAGTTATTATTTCATGATTTTTCATACCAAAAGTAGGCTATTTAGGTATTTGCCCAGTTTCCATGGCAATTCTACAGAAAAGTAAACTCTTTTTTGTACAGTACCAAAAAGAACGTCAAGTTGTCAAAACCCCACATATTTTGAACCAAAAATTAAAATGAAGATGGATAGTGACAGCGATAGTGATATATCATGTACTCCCCCAAACATAAGAGAAAAGGCTAATATTGCCACTTTAGAACTGCTACCAAGAAAATCTAAAACTGTATATGAAAACAGTTACAGAAAGTTTATGGACTGGAAGAGAACGAATAAGGTATCATCTTTATCTGAAGATGTTATCATATCTTATTTATCCGATTTATCTGCTACAATGAAGCCATCCACCTTGTGGAGTCAATACTCAATGCTAAAAGCCACTCTGAACATTAATCATGGAATTAATATAGGCAACTATTCCAAATTAGTTCCTTATCTCAAGCGTAAATCTAATGGATATCAACCCAAAAAGTCTAAAACGCTGACAAAAGAAGAGATTGATAGATTTATCTCTGAAGCACCAGATCATAGATATCTGATGACTAAGGTAAGGAGTAATTTTCACTGATCTTATTAAAATAATGTTGAATATTCAAATATGTATTCAAATTATGTACGAGAGGAAAAGTGTACGCTATGAATAACAATCACGAAAGATATTAACATAGGTCTCATTAGCCTAGTAGTCAGAGACTGAGCTTCTGGTGCGGAAATCCCGAGTTCAAATCCCGTTAGCACGGTTTTTTTATATATTTTTTTTTAAGTAAAAACTTCTTTCATGGATTAATTTTGCATTTATTTATAGGTTGCGCTTATTTTTGGAGTAGCTGGAGCATTAAGACGTGATGAATTATCAAAAATGAAAATAGAAGACATTAAAGACTTGGAATCCGCTTTATTAATACACGAAAAAAAAGGATTTGTTGCATCAACAAATTATTTATGCTTGGATTATTTTTGTTGGACTAAGCAATTTTTTGTTGAATCAACCAGATACAGGATCATTTCATGGAAGCAGCTTGTTCAAATCAAGAATGTAGTCTAATTGAATCAACAGTATAATATCAATTCCATCAACAAAATATATGGTTTTATCAAGAACAATTTATGTTGATCCAAGATAATGTCGATGTTGATTCAACTATAAACATTTTGTTGATTTGATCAAATAATGATCATTTTGATGGGAATAATATATCTTTGAAACAACATATAAGTTTTCTTATTCCGATGTAGCAATAAACTTGTTTCGAACGGATCATTTGCTTGAATGGAGCAACGAAATATGTAATATCAATGAAATATTTTGTTCATTCTGCATCAACTTATATTTCCGCCTCTAGATGGCGATCATTTCGCCCCGTCTATGCCTGCCTCGAATTCTTTATATATGTGAAGCCTGATTCTTCGTGTTTGAAATATCAGCTGGATGAATCGAACTTAGGATGATTAGAAATCCGAAATAGTTTTCCATCAGCTGAGGAGAAGTAGAGACTGAAGATCTATGCTAGGAGTCGACTTGTTTTCGAGTTTTGTTTATTCTATTGATGTGAAATTTCAGAAAATTCCCGAATATTGAATTTGGTTCACCAAAATAATTTCATTGAATCAAACAAATATTTCTTTGAATCAACCAAATATTTCGTTGAATCAACCAAATATTTCGTTGAATCAACTAAATATTTGATTGAGGCAATATGTTGTTATTTTGAATCAAACAAAATGATTGTTTGATCCAATTCAATATCTCTTCATAAACAATTCATGAATGTGTTTGATTGAAGAGGATCCAGAGTTAATGCAAGACATATTTACTTGATTCAAACTTCAAATTCGCTCTGAAACAAGATATAGATTTACTCATTTCAAGATTATATTTTGTCGTGCATATATGACACTTTTATTCGCTCCATTCAATTAAATTTTGCTTGATTCAACAATTCCTTTTTTTCCGTGTAAAGATACCTATAACGAAGACAAACAGGCCTAGATCCTTCACAGTGACGGGTGATAATTATTTGAAAATCTATAAGAAATATGTAGCCCTTCGACCGGGTAATATGAATAATTCAAGATTTTTTATCAAATACTCCAATGGGAAATGCCATAAACAGGTTGTAGGCATTCATAAATTGGCATCTACTGCAAAGGATGTGGCTGTTTATTTGAATTTACAAAATTCTGAAGCTTACACTGGCCATTGCCTAAGGCGGACGTCTGCTACTTTATTAGTTAATGCTGGAGCAGATATAACGGCCCTAAAAAGACATGGAGGGTGGCATTCATCTACTGTTGCTGAGGGCTATATAGACGAATCCATCAACAACAAACTAGAAACTGCAAATAAAATTTTAAATTCCTCAGTTCAGGAAAATAATATAAATACGGATTATTCTCCAAGTACTAGCACAGATGCTGTTCACCAATCTGCGTACCCACCAATACAACTATCCAATTGTTCAAATTGTAACGTAACAGTGAATATAAATTATTGTTCTAAACAAAATATTTAGGAGTAAACAACAAAATATCTATTTTCAGTTTTGAAGATTTGTTTGAATACTTTCCACCAATTGTTCGAATGGTATTTACTGTTACAATGGATTATTATTGTTCTAAACAATATTAGGTATGTAAATTGAAAGGAAAATTGTACAAAATGCCCTGATTTTCGGAAATAAAGATTTGTACAGGGAATTTGGTCGTTAAAATTCACTATAACTACATGTAGGTATTTTCAGAACATATAATTTGTTATTTTTGAAACTTAAGTGGTTGGAAAAAAAATATTGTGTTTCATTCGTACAAAAAATGCGTTTTTGGGACTCATAAGATTGCCGTACTCCGCTACGCGTCGTCCGGCAACCTTCTTATTCGTCCCAAAAACAGTCATTTTTTGTACTAATGAAACAAATAACTATTATTACATCTGATTAGAAAATATAAAAACTACGCATGGATAAAAGTTTTCAAAAGCAAAGGACGAAGTTCTCTGGATGACTCCGTCCAATGAATGACTCTGCCACATAACCTTCAAATACCTCTACAATTCAACATGTAGGAACAACATAGGAAGAAATTAATAGTATCATATGAATATCATCAGATGATAAATAAATGGAAGGAAGTCAGAATGTGTTATTCCTTTGAGTTGAACAGATGTGAAAATATATTCGTTTTGAATTTATTAAATACCGCTGATTTTATTTGATGTGGTCTGATGTGGAATATTATTGTAATTTTGGCATATCAAGTAACTGAAGCATCTTCGGAAATGTTCTGTTTTGAATGAGGAGGAGGCAGTGTTCCTCTCAACCTAATATTCACATTGTGAAAATCCGTACGGAAATAGTAATTTACGTAACAAGTCCGGAAATACTGTTTTTTTGGATGAGCAGACAAAATTCTAGGCCGAGCCGTAGGCGAGTCCTGGAAGTCTGCGAGTCCAAAAAAACTGTTTTTGGACGTGTTGCGTACAGTTTTTCGGCAACCATGTAGAATAACAAATAAATGAGACACATTTCCATATTATATTTCTTTGAAGAAAACAATTTCTTCTTTAATAATTCTCATTTGTATCAAATACTGAAATTTGAACAGAATACCTATACCTACTAACTGTTACATTGGAAATTTCGTATGGATATTTTCAAACTCACTATCGCATCTGCTTTCGATAGTTTATTGCGATAATTGCAACCAAACTTTCAAAAATCAAAATATCAACTATAATTTCATGTGAAATAGCCGATATTTCGCTGCTATGGTAATCATCAGCTGCATTTATCAAAACCATTTCTTACAAGATTTTCATAGTTACAGTGACAACAACGATGTGATACTTTCTCAAAGAAAAAGTGTCCAGGAAGTGAGCACATTCCGGACGGAGAAACAATTTTTTATGGAAGGTTTTTTATTGATGATAATTCTATGGAAGAGATTAGCAGTCTCATGAAGTTCCCTGTTCACCATAGTCAGCCAACCAGCATCTTTCCACTTATAAGATATTCTTTGACCTCTTTCTATTCCATGAATTAGTCTCAAGCATGAATTCTGCAACTCCTGCATCTTATTTTGTAAAGTTTCGTCAAATGTTTGTCCATAGACACAATAGGCATAATTGAAATGTGATAATACGAGAATTTCACACACAAAAGCTTTCATTTTCGTTATGCCATAAATTAATTTCAGCGAAGAATATGCACGATTTTTAGCTTCCACTACTAGCTGAATTGGTTCACCTTTGATTGATATTCATAGATTCTAGTACCGTTTGACTTAGGGGGTCCAAACAGTAAAACATTAGACTTACGAGAGTTTAAAAGTAAACAATGGTCTATGGCAGCTTGTGGAAATGATTGAGCTTTGTTTCATTATTGATAGAAGTTGTCTCAATTGTTTCAGCACTTTCCGCTCAACTGTCGGCCAATGTTGAGGTGCTTGTAAGACGGTCTCGAAATGCCTCTTCCGAAGCGGGTCATAGAGCCCATTCACATAACGAGAGGCACTCTACCAGAGGATTACCCATTGCCTTCGGAACTAGAAGGAGTTACCAATGGATCTCTGGCTAATACCGTGAGACAGCTGTCTTCTTTGTCAAGGTGAGTTGCTTGTGAATCAATCGCTATTCTAATAATTCCTAAAGGACCACGCGCACTGAATCGACTCGGATCGGTCGACTCGACTCGGCACATTTTGCTATGCATCGCCGCGCACTGAATCGGTGCGGTCGGCACGTTTTGCTATGCATCGCCGCGCACTGAATCGGTGCGGTCGGCTTGAACCGGGCCTATTCTCGAATGTCGAACGAAATATGTCGAATTCGACATTTGTCGATAGAAATTATTGTCGCACAACGTTTCAGTGTGTTATTCTCGATTGCTTTCGACTTCAAACTCGCATGAGACAAATTTTGTCGAATAGCATGAACTGGCAACATCGAATTAACGATTCTCAAATGTGTTCTGTGCCAATGTGCTCTGGTTTCTTTGTTGTTATGGAGGTTACTTTGAATTTCCATCATTGTTGAAATAATGGCAGTGGAAGGAAAAATTAAAGGTTATCAGAAATAGTTTTACTGAGTTATTACCATCATCCCCAAAAGTCGAACATGGCTTACCTTTCCTTCAAGAGATAATGCAGAATACCGATATCCCTGTATACCATGTAAATGGTTCTAACAGTGCCATAAGCCCTCTCACATTCTTAACTCAATCTAATGTTTATATAAATATTTTGTCCTGTAAAAATCTGAAAGCAATCTTATATTCCTCGCCTCTCGCGTGGCCGTTGATGATTTTCTTGATTTTCCAAATTTTCAATCGCTATAAATAAAGCTGCCATCCTCAAAATAACAAGTGATGAAGAAAACCCGTCAAATATGCAATCTCTCATACGATATGAAATTGTCGACTGATAAAGACCACTCTACAATTGTCTATCGAAAATTTTCGAATGCGTCATTCGAGAATGTGCACTCACGTTTTTTGTTCGACAATGTAGAAATCTCGCATGCGACAAAATATCTCACCGTTTGAGAATAGGGTCTAGATGGGGCAAAAACTGCCGATTGCGCCGATTGCTCTCAGTGCTTGTACGGTTTTTGAGCCAAAGAAGTGAATGAACGAAGCTGCAAATTCAAAGTTATGGCGGATATAACATAATTATTGTATGATCCCTAAAAAAGGTAGTACCACGACAACATTTGTATAGGTTTCCTCTTTTGAGTTTGGTTTATGGATCAGAACCTTGGTTTCCGTTTTTCTATTTCTTCTTACGAAACTAGTGGGGAATAACATATCAGAACGACGTATCAGATCAACAACTGAAAATGACGATTTTTTAAAGTCGTATACACCATTTTTTGAATTTTCTGGCCAGATCATATAGGCGTATGAGCTCGTAAGTCTCAACTGCAGCCTAAAAATGCTGTATCATGTTCTAACTAAGGCGGGGTGAGGTATGCCTTAAAAATACGTATACCAAATATGATCACAGCTAACAATGAATAATGTACATTTAGTAAACGTTGATAAATATTTCTCATTACACTTACAGTTCAAAACAATACGAACAGTATCTCTATAAAACCCGGTTAATGATGACAATGGAATAAATCAAGTTTTTATAGTCTTACATTACCTTTTGTTGAGATTTCAAATTGGCAAAATCATCAATTATATCGTCGTATGAAATCTTGTTCATAAGTTCTGACCCTATGTACTAAAGAGCTAAGGCGTTTAACTTTTCTTGACCTAGTCTAGTCGATCGTAGATGGTTTTTCACCGCTTTAAGCAAGACTAATTTTCTCAAGTTCGACTCAGCCTCAGTCTTAAGATGAATTCATGCAACCTGAATTCGAAATTATTAAAATGAGGAATTTAGAAGGATGACAGAAGAATAGGTTTTGACAAATCCCTCATGACAGCTGGTCTTATCAACCACTAAAATTTCAATTAAGAATAAGAGTTTTCAAAGAAAATATAGAGGGAGTAAAGAGAGTTCCATGTCTTTAAATTAGATGAAAACTTGACGCATGTAACCCTACTACTATTTTATTCAACAAAAAAGTTAATGGGGGGTTGTAAATGTACGTGAATATGAATACCCTGTATGTTTCACACTGATATTCAAAATGATATGAAATTGTATAACTATACTTAGTTATAAGATCACCATTTGGATTACACCACGTTGCCTTGTTTGTTTTGATTCTCAAGAGTCCTCCATGTCTGGTGTTAATTGGTACAGATGGTTTCTTTGGTATACATCCTATATCTAAAAATAAAATTTCAATATTTACCATCAAAGTTTCTAGTTATATTAAGGAAACTTAAGGTAATTATAAACCTTGAATATCCTAGCCATACTATATTGGGATCATGCTAGCTTTCGAGTATAGTCAAATTAATTACTTTCCCGATTTTTGTGTGGCTCTATTTCATTATGATCTAAAAGTGTTTAATTCAATGTCAACAACTTGTATGTTTTAAATTAGTTTTCAACTTTGAACTTGACTGATATCAATCATTCTTGACACAATGACCAGGTTATCAGAACATTTATTGAATAAGCTCCAGTACCCACATATTTAATTTCTTTCAAATTATTATGTTTTATTATACATTCTCAGGTAATCGATTGAAAAAATTGAAGAAATTATTACACTTAAATATACTTGTATTTCGTTTTCATTTCCGCTAGATTTTTGGTTTTGAATTTTTATCTTTGATGAAACGGGAGCTATCGATTCGAGATTTGGTGAGCACCTTAATACCGGGTGTAAGAATATTCCGAGGAATACTCCAGATTCAGAAACTACACAGGGTGTAATTTTTTTTTCATCTGGTATTTAACCTTCCTGAATCATCAATAAAAGCGCCACTGGTAAAAGGAATCGAATGGAAAATCATTACTTTTTCTCTCTCTCTCGGCGCAATATCGAAACTTCTTTCTCTGTCACACTCATTGATCATATGAAAACTTCGAACGCAAATATCTTCGTAATCGTTTGAAATAACCCTATCAAACCTGGTATCGTTGAATTCTTTATAAGAATCTATCCAATTATGAGAAAAAAAAAAAATAGGTTGATCCATTTGAAAATCCAAAGTTGATGTCATTTCCAGGAAAACCGGAAGATGAAAAAAAAATCCAAAAATGTGAGCAAGTGCCCTCTAGTGAACATATCGATTTTCCAAATTTCGGAAATATAGCTAGAAAAATAAATGAGAAAAGGGGGGTATATCGTGAGTCTGTGTCACTCATAGGTTTATATTGGCCTAGCCTTTCAGTCTCTATTTGAAGTGGGAGAAGTATTTTCAAATGAACTCAAGTGATTTGATACAGTGGATTGAGATACTTATTCAAACTATGAATTATGACAATTGAATTGAAATGTGCAAAATAATAATATGGTAAATTTACTTATTTTGAATTTATTCTATATTTGTACAGGTAATTATTTTCTTCAAAACTAAGATCAGACATGTAGAATGCAAAAAAATGAGCAGCATATTTATTCTCTTGTAACATCCAAATTACCGTTTGGAAATTATACAGTCATCTTCTTATTTTTCGAAAATCCGTATATTAGTTCCATCCGACCTTCGAGATACGCCACTGGTGTGCATTTACATTTCACCACGAATTTGCACGCCGCTACTGTTTATGGTTCACTTACAGTGTTGCAGCTGGTGCATGATTTGTTCGTCCGCCATATTGGATACGCATTCCTCGTAAGTCGTAAGATATACAGGGTTATTCAAAATTTGATGTAAATACCGGGTGTAACAGGATCATGGTACACCAAACCATTTTGATGAACTTGAATTGGTGATAAATCAAAAAATTCAACATTTTTGACAGGATTTAATTATTTTTTTTTTAGTTTTTTACAATATGAGTACACCAGACTCGATCAGAATAGTCATGGCACTCTCAGATCGAAAATCAGATATGAAATTAAGATCAATATTGAAGTTTGAAATATCACTTATATGGTATCATTTGATTCAGAAAATGATGCAGATTTCGAAAATGCTGTGATATACAGCAGTTCCATTTGAAAATCAAAAGTTATTACCACTTATGTCAAAGTGTGACGTTTATCAAGTTGATGGATCAAACGAGGGATCAAACCAAATTTCAGTCACTTATCTCTAAAACTAAAGAAGAAAAAGGGGGTGTACCATGATCCTGTTACACTCGGTATTTTAAGGATGTATTGTTGTGATCAAAATAAGACTTTCTTCATATAAACATGTTTGTGTCCTAAAATGCACCCCATTTGGGCCAATAAAAATGTGGACCCCCCTCCAACTCCCCCAAAATTGGATTTACATCATTTTTGAAGCAAGAAGGATAAATAGTGTCTAAAAGGACAGGCGCATGCCAATTTTCCGAAGATTTGATCTGCTATTCTAGTCACAATTTCATATAATCTTTTTTTTACCAAACTGACAGAGGCTGTAACTCTTAGGGGGTGAATTTTAAGACACATGACACATGTTTATATGAAGAAAATGTCTTATTTTGACCCAACCAATATGTCCTTGAAATATTTACGTCGAATTTTGAATCACCCTGCATAAAGACTATGAGTTCTGTGGCTAGAACCAACTTTGATGTATCGATGAAATCAGCTCCTCAGGGAGAATCTTGAAATGCAATGAAATACAGGGTGTTTAATTCGAAATATCAAAGTTGCTGCTACTAAGTGGCAACACCGCATTGTCGAGTATATTTTAGTTGGGTAGAGAACGTCCGAACAGTTTCTCCTTAAAATTTTCAAAATGATCCGGTGTTTGGTTCACCAAAAAAGTCTAATTTGCCATTCACCGTGAATGAGTCTGGGATACAATGCCATATTTAGTTTTACCAGAGATAAGGGTAACTTATCTCTGGTTTTACATTCAATAACAATGAATGACTATTGTTTTCAACAGTTACAATATTATATTAAGTGAATTAACATTAGTAGTACCTAAAAATAAGAAAACAAAAGGCGAAGGTAAATTTGGGTGCCGCAAGCGTCACCAAATTGCTTTCCACTTAACCTCACAAAATATCTACCGTGCATTTTTAATAAATATAAACAATAAAATTGAAAGAAACAGTACATACATAATGGCGATGGTAGGCGATAAATCTTCTGGATGTGCGAATAGTGTTGAAAAAGTGTTAGAATGAAGAGGAGGCACGGCCACCTCATTACTGGTTGTCAAACAAATAATCCCTGAGTTTTCTTTTGAATTTCTGTGATTTTACATGTCTTATATCATCGGGAAGTGAGTTATGGATTTCACAAATCTGGTAGCTAAATGATCTTTTGAATTGTTCCGTTCTAAAGGACCCCGCACCGCAATAGGGGGAAACTGGCTTTCGGTGAATTTTCTCGAATTTCGGATATGTCGTAGAACTCGTGATACTGATCAGATGTCTCAATTATCAACGCTTCAAATTCAATAGTTTGTATTATACAGGGTGCTGAAGTTGACTCTTTCAAAATTTCGAATGGCCATTGTGAAGTTTCCTTTTTGAATACCAAAATCAAATCCGACTACGTTTTGTTTGTCCATGTGACCGGTGAAAATCCACTATAGAGTTCAATGATATCTGCACGTGCTCACGATATACAGAGTTGGTCCAAAAATAGCAAATGTTCCAATTATTTCCGAAAAAGTGAGCGGTTGAAATCAATTCATCTTTGGACATTCCGTTGTATACTAATAGCAACATCGATTCGTAATAATTACATTTCTTGTATCAGACTATATATTATACACAAGACTATATATTATACACAAGATGTTCAAGTTTCCATGACCGCACCCGTCCTGATATCCATATCCATCGAATGATTGGAATCCTGTAAAACTTGGTGAGGAAGTTGATAATTCGTGATGACAATATTTTATGCGATACCTGCATCATACAGGGTGGTTCAAAAAGTAGTAGTCAAGTTTTCTTGGAGTTGACGTACTCAGGATTTCTGTCTTGTTCCTCAATTGCTCTGGAGTACGTCAACTCCAAGAAAACTCCACTACTACTTTCTCAACCACCCTGTATGTTTCAGGTATTTGCATAAAATATTGTCATCACGAATTATCAACTTTCTCACCAAGTTTTACGGGATTCCAATCATTCGATGGATATGAATATCAAGACGGGTGCGGTTTCATGGAAACTTGAACATCTTGTGTACAATATGTAGTCTGAGTCAAAAAATGCAATCATCATGAATCGATGTTTATATTATTAGTATACTACGGAATGTCCAAAGATGAATTGATTTCAACCGCCCACTATTTCGGAAATAATTGGAACATTTGCTATTTTTGGACCAACTCTGTATATCATGAGTACGTGCAGATATCATTGAACTCTATAGTGGATTTTCACCGGTCACATGGACAAACAAAACGTAGTCCGATTTGATTTTGGTATTCAAAAAGGAAACTTCACAATGGCCATTCGAAATTTTGAAAAAGTCAACTTCAGCACCCTGTATAATACAAACTATTGAATTTGAAGCGTTGATTGTTGTTGTTGTTGTTCTATCCGTCATTCGGTTGCCCCCTTACGAGCAACCCTCAGAAGTCTTCGAGAGTCTTGTGCGAGCAAGGAATGACGGGGGCCTTACCTTTTAACGTGTGATCCCAAACACTTTCTTGGGCCATCAGAAAAATTTCTGCAGTCGACGGGACTCGAACCCACGACCGGCAAGCGAATGCGGATTAGAATATAGACACTCTGTCCGCACGGCTACCTGGCCACCTACGATAATTGGGACATCTGATCAGCATCACGAGTTCTACGGTATATCCAAAATTCGAGAAAATTCACCGAAAGCCAATTTCCCCCCTATTGCGGTGCGGGGTCCTTTGGGTGGTGTTAAAGTACCTTTGAACCAGATATTCAAGGTGTGAACTGAGGTGCGTTACTTTTTTAAATAGGTATGGTGGAGTCTTGGTTGATAATATTTTGTGAGATAAATTAGCAGCATGATGGATCCTTCTATTCTTCATGCTCAGCCAGCCAATTTCAGGAAGCTAATGTGATATTCTTTCATATTTTCGAATTCCGTATATATGTCGCAAACATGAGTTTTCTACTTTCTGTATTTTTAAATGTATTGACTAGTCAAGCATGGACCATACAAGGTATCCGCCTAATTGAAGAGGGATGTCACAAAGGATAGATTTCAATTTGATTGAAAGAAAGTGCCGGTTACCATATATTATTTGACGTTGTAATATTTCCTCTAGGCATGCAGAAGATCTCTTCGGAGAACTAGCAAGGGATGCGCAGCAACTCTACGACCGATCGAATTCCCTGCAGGCCAGGATCGATAGGTTGGCTATCAAGGTCACTCAGCTGGACAGTACCGTAGAAGAAGTGTCACTTCAAGACATCCACACGAGGAAGGCTTTCAAGAGCAGCGTTGTCTTTGATCAACAGGTAATGGTTTTGCTATTCTTGTGTGAATATTCGATTCCACCATGTGGGGCGCCGCATCAGGACGAATACCTGATCTTTTTTCCACTCCTGAACAATAATGTTGACAGGTTACAAAATGTCATCTTTATTAAATTTACTTTGTTCCACGGGAAAAGTGAGTACTTTTTTCCCGTATATAAAGGTACACTGTTGATGGCTTTTGTTGTGCTAATTCTGAAAAATAAGCCAATAACACCGTCTCCGAAAATTAACTGCAAGTCCTTTTCATCTCCCATTCCACGCGTTTTGGTAAATTAATAAACAACTACTAAGGTCGCATTTTTTCAAAATCAAATTACAGAATTGAATTGACAGATTCGATTTCTTCAAAAGGTTGTCATAGAAACAACAAAGATGCCTACCAAAGATGTCCCAGTGCCATCATCTGCAACACATGATGGCACTGGGCCCTTTATTAAGATTCAAAAAACTCGACTTTTCGACTATGGGCATCGGCAAACAGCTAGTAGCATCATTCTTTTTCGATTCCAAAACTTTTAATTGAGCTGAAGATGGTCTTATCTAAGACCGAAACATGTACCTGGTTGTGTAACATCATTTAAAATTTGTGGAGTCGACTTCAAACATTTCTTCCTTTGAAAAATTTCATTCCAGATTGAGCAATATGGACTTCTAACAAAGATTAACAACAATACATATTGAGAATATATTTTGAATTATCAATTCAAATTACTAAGTTCATTAATATTTATACCAAATAGTTGTTATAATTATTCGTTGGCGTCTGTGACAAGGTACTTTTTGGAGCATAATAAATTTGAAAACAATTTATTTATATCTCAAACAGTTTTTACTATAATGCTCTTTTCAGATAGATATTGCTATTATCTTTTTATATCATTTATTTCAGACTCACTTTCTCTTTGTTATATAAATCTAATAGGTATAGTATTGACTTTTTTCATTTATCTCATGAATACCAGTATACAGGGTGTTTCATAATTGAATGTCAATATTCGAGGAGGCGATTCTTGGGCTCATTCTAAGAAGAAAGTTTCATATGAACGTATGACCTAAACGTCCCAACTTTGGAGATACAGGGTGGTAAAATTCTCGAAAATTAATATAGCCTACTACAATGAGAAGTTATAATTCGAAAATACCAAATACGAATACAAAGTTCATGAACTATGAATTGTATTTCTGAAATTTGATCTTAAAAATAAAAACTATTTCTCTGCATTGTGATATTATCATATTAACAATATTACTATAATCATGTAGTGAAAAGCTTTTTATTTTTAAGCGAAAACCGTGCATCAGATTGAAAAAATTGTAGTGATCAAATTTGCTTAGAAATGATCGGGAATTTCAGGAATGATTTCAATTTGGAGATTAATCAGTGGCGTACCATCAATGTCTGCCAAAATAGGTATGTGAAATTCCATACGAACGCCACTGGTGGCAACAACAAAAAATGTGGTACGCTAACTGATGCCTCTTGATACATAGTACATGTATGCCAAATTTCATCAGAATATCTGAAGTGGTATTACAGATATTAATAAAAAACTATTAATTTTTGAGAACTTCACCACCCTGTATCTCAAAAGTTAGGATGTTTAGGTCATACGTTCATATGAAACTTTCTTCTTAGAATGGGCCCAAGAATTGCGTCCCCAAATATTGACATTCAATTATGAAACACCCTGTATATGAGTAACTACATATTATGCAATAATAGCTCTCCGATAGAATGTCAATCCTGCCATTTGCTGTTATGAATTTTGAATATTTCCCATACTAATGTGTTATTTTCCAATGAATGGTTTATCTGTATATTTTTATCATGATGAATATATGTATGTAGGTATGTTGAAAAATACTTGCATGTAATATTGCTACAGGGCAGATTTCTACTAAAGGATGTTTGAGCACAAGTTATTGCAAAGTAAGGTATATTATTGACAACAAACAAAAGTGTGACACTAGAGTAGTATATTAGTATAATATAATCCAGTTAGAGTTAGAACCCAGTCTATTTATAGTTTCTCATTGTGATGCACAAAGGTCTCCTATCTGGCAGGAATATCATGAATAATATGTGAACAACTTTGTCAGTTTGCCAGGTGGACACAAAGGGTTCATTTTCGATTCCAGCGATTTAATTGCAAAATAATGATTTTGTTGACGTTATGAATAGTGTCTGTATGCTCTTCTAGGAAGTAGAATGTTAATGTTATGGGGATTTTTTGGGCTTTGAATAGTCTCAACATTATTTTTCTATTCAGAATCCATATATATGTATAGGGTGTTTATATTTTGATGCATGCTCCAAGTGTATTTCCATAATTTATTCTGTATGTGCCCCAGAACAATTGGGAATTGGCTAATACCACATTAGAATGTACAAAACTATTCATTCTTTTATCCTTGAGAATCCATGGTATACACACTATTATTCGTGCAAAAATTCCTCCCTCCTTATCACATGATCAGTTAATAATTTCGGGACTTCCCACACGTGGTCAGAGTATGCAAATTTTTTTCAAATTCCAACAAAAACCAATTTGCATGTATTTACTAATCGTTGGAAATCATCAATTTTCAATGCAAATTCAAATTTGATTGGTGACGCTGCTGCATGCGAGCACAATTAGATAATGGGGCTGTACACACTAGTTGAATTTACGCACATACACATTCCGTGTATAAATAGAATTTGATGCAATCATTCGATATTTGAAATCATCGCAAATATTTTTTTCAATAATTAAATTCGGCGACTTCGAAAAACGCCAGGTTTGATGACGTCATAAACCGAATTCTCACTTTCGCATAATATTTAGTAGGACCACATATTTCGACGCTGCCAGATTTGTAACTAGTAATTACCTTATGAGATTCAATAATGACAATAGTATTCACATCCACAGAAGACAATAGTTCTCTACCTGGTCCCTAATAATCACTTATTGAATACTTAAACTTGCAAGATGCTTCAGTACCAATAAAAATATCCTAGTATTCTTTATAATGATCGAGATTTTATTTAATCCCAAATTATTTTGTGATACGGGCAACAGTGTAATGCCTAAGTTCCCAAAAATACAAAAAAAAAGAAGAAGAAGACAAACTACATTGTCAACCTAACTTCCTGACGTTAATATCCTCATATTATCTGATTCTTTAATTGTGTGTTATTCAATCTATTCCATATTCTGATTGAAATGATAATAAGAAATATTCTTACACTTGTCTATCAGAAATAGAGAATTGATACGTAAGTCGAATCTTACATGGTGTTCTCGGATGATGACGTCACGCGTTTTCCTGCGTTTTTCATGTTATGAAATATCGCGAATTTCAATAATTATTCAAAAAAGTTACAGAGCTCTGTGGTGCCTCTCGCCTTCTCGATAGGTTAAGTTTCATTCGGCTCCACACATGTTCAATCAAATTCAGATCTGGAGATAATGCTGGTCACCACATTCTTCTAACATTATTGTTTTCTAGATTTCGTGCTTTGTCCGATAAGTTGTGGAACACTCAGTATATTGAACAACAATACTCTGTGTCTCATACTTGGGCAATAAATATTGGAAATCAGTGAATATACTGAATCGAATGGGCCATGGTTTTAGTCACCATTTTTGATTTTTTTTACTGAAATGAGATTTTGTCCTATTTTCTTATCATCCTGTATATCCCACAATAGTGCTTTTTTCGTCTTTCATTGTCCTCCACAAAACATGAGAACAGTTCTTCCCAATAGTCAGCTCAAGTGAAGTTCTAGAGAAAAAATTCAAGAAACGCAAGACTTTCGAAAGAAAATCGAATTTTTGTTCCAATGGCCAATCGAGGAGAAATCACGAAAACGTATCATAATATGACTGGCTGTTGATCAGAAAAAAATTTCTCGAGTTCTGGCAGCATTGGAAATGTAGACCATAGTGTAATGGTTCCACATTACACCCTGTGTAAGTTTTGTTCTGCGGACTTTTTCAGAGTGTTCTAGCTCTCTTTGAAGCCGATGAAATATCACATCTTATATCGAAAACCGCATGAAGATCGGTCAATTTTTACAAAAAATACAGGTGTTCGAAATAGAGTCAAATTATGAGTGGTCCATTTAGTGTGTTGAGAACTGTAGTTAGGGTTAGTACTTCGAAATGATGAAATAATTTTGTTCACTGAAACAGGCCCATTGTCTAGGACATGTTGAAAACCCATGAAAATAATGACTTGAAAGATGCATACATTGACAAAACGTTGCACAGAATCTGTCATTACCGGTCAATCTATTACGATATAAGAATTATGCCATCCGATACCATTTAAATTATTATCTTTATTATTATTCCCAAGAAACATACATGTTTATAGCAGGGAAAATTATGAAAGAGCAACTAAAAAAAACAAAAATTAGATAATCAGATAATCATTTTTAAATCATATACATAATACATATAATGTCAAATGCATTGCACAGCGATTTATTTGCTGCTGTTATTCCAGTGTTGAAACGTGGTTGAAACAAAAAGCAAATAAAAGGGGATAGTGCTCCTTTTGCGAAATACCAGACGTGATTCGATTCACACTGATCTATGTTAGTGGCGGAGCGTCAATATTCCCTAGAATATACTGGTCCATTGGATATTGTCTTTCGACAGGGACGAAATATTATTATCGGAAATATTCACTCTGCCTCTAACTTTGATGTTTGGATATTCGCAAAGGGGACATTATCCCATTTTATTTGCTTTTTGTTTCAACTCGTTATCACATGGCGGAAGTATGTCCGGAATAACGGCAGCAAATAAATTGCTGTGCCGTGGATTAGACTCAGATTAAGGGCTGGTACAGGTAGCTTTTTGAGATCAACCATTCAATTGGTATCGGATGGCATAATTCTTATCACGTTATCAAATCGAGAAATTGAGTACAAATTGCCGCACAGAAAAGTGATAAGAGAAGAGGTGTCAGGAACGCCAAAGGGTCGTAAACACGGGCAAGTTGTGACAGTACTGTACGTATAGTGCAGGACTTATCGAGGGAGGTTACACTGTATGAGAAGGATTCCATTGTAACCCTAATATTTTTATAGCTGAGGGGCCATCATTGTCAAATGAAAACGGATTGTACGCGAAATTTCAGAAGTACAGCTAAAGAAACAAAGGAGAAAAGAGGGGTATACCATGATTCTGTGTCACCTGGTATATCATTGTGTTATCAGATGACGGTTGAAATGTGCAGCCGGCCCTTGGACTCAGTTTCAAATAATATATATTCCTTTTTTTTTAATGTTCTGATGAGTTATCTGCATTCACGACTTGTTTTCACTGCAGTTTTCAATTTGATTCAAATCACGATTGAAATTCAAAAAATGAGTCGTTCCAGAAAAATCCCAACTGGTAATCTTCAATAAAAAAATATTAGATGATTCACCCACGGTAACTGTGAATAATCATGTAGTGAGAACTAGGGCATTAGTTAAATATCTGGGAGTGCACTTAGATCAAAAACTAAACTTTAACGATCATACCCAGTTGATGAAAAAAAAAGTGCATCACAAGAGCTAAACATTTCCGAAGCCTAACCTTCAATAATGAAGGAATTAGCAAAAGAACTGCAGCACATATTTACAAAACCATTTGCCGCCCAATGGGCGTGTACACCTTAGTAGAACTTTTAACTCAAACCATGTTTATAATGATCCTTTTATACATAAATAATGATTGACGACATAATTCGATCGAAAAATTAACTGGAATGTTTTATTTTTGGACATAAATGATAGTACCTTCTGAAAACGGAGACCCTCTTATGACGTAGAAACCCCATCTCGCCATATATATATATATATATATATAAACCATATATCTACTACTGATATATGAATCATAGCTCTCCTCAAAGCGGGACCCATTTCTGTCTCTATAGGTAATGAAATCGACCAATAGGCGTTGATACCGACGTAGGGAAAAAATAATAGGAAATTTGTCAAACCAATATGGCTGTTTCCATCCTTCAATTTTCGTTCTCATAGATTCAAAGAGTACCTCTCATTTTGGTCCCATTTTTGTTGAGATATCGTATAGGCGATGCGCCATATATAGAAATAGTAGATATATGGTTGAAACTGACACTCTCCTGACATTTATTACTGTTGCCATATCATCCGAACAAAATATCCGAGAGATCGAAATCGATATTGAAATATCTTTTGATATCCACTACCACTACTGCAGAAAAATATATTCGAGTTGTCGATTGTAGGTTGAATCATTGGAGTATAAACAATCTCTAGACAACGAAATGTCTCAATCTCAAAACCATTTGCACCATTACAATTTCACAATAATCCAATATATTTCATAAACAAAGCAACATTGCTTTGTTGACCCGTTTCACATGGAGCTGCAAAAAGTCTTGTCAGAAATCATGTATCATTCATCTCTGTCTGGAATAGTCTTGTTTCAGTATTAGGGTTTTGACGTCACATCATCGCCTCGTTTTCAGAGGTCCGAAAAATCGGGGATTTCAATAATTTTTTATAAAACGTAGGGAGCTCACAGCAAGAAACGGTTTGCGGTGGTGAGCTAGTTTGGGTGAGTTCTATCGAATTATGAAATAAAATTTTTTTGTGATATAAGCCCATTCTTGAGTATGCTCACCCAATATACATAAACACGAGGAAGACGGCACTGAACAATTTGGAAGTAGCAGAAAGAGCTAGCCTGAGAGACATTACCAAAATCCGGCACCCTCAAAATCCCCTTCAGCATCCATCAAACGAACTTCTATATCGGCTGACCAGGGTGCAACCAATTTCTGAGAGACTGAATAAGCTAACATTGAAGTTTTCCAAAAACGAATCCAATCTCAAAGTTATCCAATCCCATTGTTTACAGGGAGATCCAACAGTGAACCCAAGACGGAAGTTTCCGGAAAACACACTATTGGAATGCTTAATCAATTCAGAAGACTGAAATTCCTCTATAATTGTTGCCTCACAATAGACTTTTCTTCTTTTTTTTACACTAGCAAATTCAATAATTCCATAATTCTTGTACATGCAATAATGATGAATTTAAACTCAATGTATAATCACTGTGTAACACAGGCTGAAGGACCTCGGTCGGTAGCCTTTTGGGTATCCAATAAAGCTCTTTAATTATTATTATTATTATTTCGAGTCGTTTGAAATCACGATTTGAATCGTCGCAACCCTGCAGTACTCCGTATGAATTTCCAGATCTTCTCGCGCGCCACCATGCCCACCGCCATGCTCGAGACGTACACCACGTGCGACCGGCCGCCGCCCCTTGACAAGCTCAACTGCTACCGCGACGACGGCAAAGACGGCCTCAAGTTCTACACCGACCCCAACTACTTCTTCGAGCTGTGGCGGCAGGAGATGCTCAACGACACGGAGCGCATGATGCACGACAGGTATGCGATCTTCCATCACCAGCTTTATAACCATAGACATCTAAAAAGAAGGGAGACATAACATATCATTAATAAAACAATATTTGCTTACAATCATACATAGTTCCAATGTTCCAAATAGTTTAGAAAGAGATGGCTTTAAAAAATGGCAACGCTGTGAACTGTGCGTCAATGTTCACACCTTTCTTTACCAGTCGCGAGGTTGAGCGAGGGGGACAAGACAATTATACGACAATGACAACAACAACAATTTTTCAGGTATAATCTTTTAATTTCAATTAATGTCACCTTATTTTGATCCATCATCCAGTGGAATATGCACAAAAGAAACATGGTTTCTTGTAATCATTTAGTTGGAAAACCTGAGATAACTACACCACTACTCAAGTTAAAAGAAGTGGGTGTTCTAGACATTTTCACTCAATTAGCAGTATGGGTTGCGTGCAAGAACTGTCAGATGACCGACCCTGGAGGCACAACATTGAAACACAACCTCACTTTTATTATTTGTTTACAAGTGATTGAAATAGTTTTTCACAATTATTTTGGCATACGAATCGTATTTTTCGGCTATTCAATATTCGCTCATGCCATCACATTGCTGTGCTGTTGTACAATGCACAAAAACTGCAGCGGAAGACGAAGGAATCCGGTTGGTACATTATGATTTAAAAGTAAGTATCTACTATAGTCACTCACATGTAGTTTTCATTTTTGAAATTTGGTAATTCCTCTGATTTCTCATCGGCATTTCTTCTGCAATAGGAGCTAATAGAAATTCTCGTGAAATTTCTGAAATAATGCAAGAAGATTGGATTCATGCAAACGGGAGGACTGGTCTGACATGCTGACGAAATATGATCGTGTGTTGTAGACTTTTTCATTCTATTAGCAGTATTAGCTTCTATTGCAGAAGTGGCAGAAGGAATTTTAATAAGAAATCACAACATTTCATAATGAAAACTATGTGAAATCACTATTTACCTGCAAAATCATATTCCTTCGTCTCTCACTGCATTGTTTGTGTATTGTACAACAGCACAATGAGAAGGCATGCCTGAATTAATGAATAGCGCAAAAAACACGATTTGTATGCCAAAATATTGTGAAAAACTATTTCAATCCTATGATTTCTCTGTAAACAAATGGAAAAAGTGAGGTTGTGTTTCAATGTTTCACAGAAGAGTGAGGTTATGTTTCAATATTTTGCCTCCAGGGTCGGTCATCGTGCACGCGACCTATTAGCTCCTATTGCAGAAGTGGCAGAAGGAATTCTAATGAGAAATGACGATTCGTATGCCAAAATACTCAGAAAAACTATTTCAATCCTTTGATTCCTTTGTAAACAAATAAGAAAAGTGAGGTTGTGTTTCTTCAATGATTTACAGAAAAGCGAGGTTGTGTTTCAAATGTTTTACCTTCAGGGTCGGCTGGGTCGGTCATCGTGCACGCGAGCTATTCAATTTTTGCCTCAAACCAGCGTTGTCAACCTTTGAGTTCACGATTATGGTACCAACAGCTTGGAATTATGGTACAATATATGAAATTGTCATAAAATAAAATGTGTTTCGACAATGATAACACTTTGGAACATTGGTCGTATTGACAATTGACTGATGAAATAACATCTAGATTTAGGACAAAATTTTGAATTATTTTCCCAAAACGAATGAAAAACAACAACATAACCTAACAGAACCATTCCATTCTTCTTTCTTTCTATGAGATTGTTAAGTTTGCGGTAACATCACATGTGAGATCATAGGTGAATCACAGGTATAAAACCGAGGGCTAAGAGCAACAACCGCGTAACTGAAAAAAACGTTGATTTCTGGTTACTACGCCACGTAACTCATCGTAGTGCATATTTTTGAGGGCAACAATCAAGTTTCTGATATAAAAATATTTAAACGGTTTTTCCAAATTCTGTATCGCATTTATACCCCGAAAATTAGTGTAACAACCACGTATCTCAGCATACGCTATTGTTGCTCTATATCATAACTGAAAGAATTGGCGCGACAATAGAGTATCATGGGATACGTTGTTATTGCTCTAATGAAGTAATGAATCAGATTTAGGAATCTCAGCATTTTCTGTTTTTGTCGAATGTTTTTCGTGAGCTGAACAATAAAAAATAAATCATCAGGTAAGTGCTGATTCGTTCATTATGGATTTGTTATAATTTATGCTCTTTCATTGTGTGGAAGAATGGTGTCGATGTATAATAATGAAATAATAATGTATACTGATTGAATATAATAATATCAATATTGGATTCAATTTTTGAGGTTATGAGGCGGCTGTGCATCGCAATATTCAAGAAGGGTCGACTTCGCTACACAGGAAAAACAGTTGTCTTGATCAAATGAAGATTTATTTGTAAATATCGGAATAAATCATTCATTTCATCGGAATATTCAATTGATTTTTGTGAAAATACCTATCTTCTATAATTGTATTTCTATGAAATGAATAATTTTTTTTGCGCGATCAGGCGATCATAATCATTTGGCATCATCCGATACTGATTATGTGTTTCGGAAATAATGAAACAATGTTCTTGATGAAGTAAAGTCCATCCATATAATTATCAGCATTATCGTCAGTTTGATGGTATTCGACAAAACCATCGAGCCAATAGAAGTAATTCACCTCCCAATGAAGAATTTCTTTGAATGATTGTCAAGGATTGCTCTAAATGTCCAAGGAATTGCAATGGAGCATTTTCTGAAGAAGAAACCAGTCAAATTTTTCAACAATTTTGGAAACTTGGAGACGAAGAAGATCAGAACAAATTCATAGGTTCATTAGTTTCACAAGAAACTAAGAAATCTGGTAAAGAGAATTCCAGGAGAAAAAGTACACACATCTACCATTTGAGCAAAAATGGGACAAAAATTGTCGTGTGTAAAGGATTTTTTCTGTCTTCTTTAGGGATGACGGAATCAAAGGTTTACCATATCATGAAATCCAGAAATACAAATTATTTCATTGAAAAATCGAGGCGTGGGAAATGTGAGAGTGCAAACAAAATTCCATTGGATGCAAGAAACTTCATAAAGGATCACATCAACTCATTTCCCAGAGTACCATCGCATTATACCAGGAAAGATACAAACAAGGAATATTTAGAAAAGGACCTCAATCTGAATATAATGTACGATCTTTATAAACAACACTGTGAAGAGAACGGTAGAAGAGCAGAAAAATTGTGGTACTACAGGTCGGTATTCAAGACTGAATTCAACATGTCATTCCATAAGCCAAGAAAAGATATGTGTGACACTTGTTACGTTTTTGAGCATAGTAAACCAGAAGAAAAAAGAGAAATACAGGAGGATTATGACGAGCATGTGTTGAGAAAAATCGAAGCTAGAAAATTCAAGAATGATGCGAAAGAAAGAGCTGAGAGAGAAGAATGTGTTTTGATTGAATTTGACCTTGAAGCTGTGTGTTATACTCCAGCAACTAATGCTAAAGCTCTTTTTTACAAGAGTCGTTTAGCTGTATATAACTTCACAGTTCTCAATGTTGTGGATAAAAAAACAGTATGCTACATGTGGCACGAAGGTATTGCAAATCGTGGTTCCAATGAGGTGGCATCTTGTTTGTGGCACTTTCTACAGATGGAGAGAATCAATAAGGAAGTCGTATTTTTTTCAGACACCTGTGGTGGACAAAATCGAAATGCAAACGTTGCTGCTTTTTGCATTCATGCTGTGAAATATTTGGACATTCCAGTAATAAATCAAATGTTTTTCGAACCTGGACACTCTCAAATGGAGGTTGACAACATTCATGCTCAGATTGAAAAAAAGAAGAAAAATGTGGACATATTCGATCCCTCGGGCTGGTACGCATTAGTCCGATCTGCTTGCAAGAAACATCCTTATACAGTATATGAAATAGATCAACCTGATATCAAGTGTTTCAAGACACTAAGGAAGGAAATCCTAAAAAACAAAAATATAGACACTAACGGTAATGATGTTAACTGGTTGAATATAACATGGCTGCAATATAGGAAAGATGATCCAGAACATATTTATTTCAAGTACCGAAAAACAGAGGAGAATTTCAGGAAAATCCAAATAATTCGACGTGTTTCCCGGGCAACACAAACTAAAAGCATTACTTTATTGGAAGCTTATTCACAGCCCATACCAATCAGCAAAGAAAAGATGCAAAACTTGAAAGAACTATGCAACAAAAAAATCATTCCCAGCCAATATCATCACTTTTATGAATCATTGGTCAGCCTAGGGACTGAAGTGGTATTTTAAATCCCGAGACAAAAGTATATAGCCCGACCAACGGGGATTTAAAGTAACATTTAATCCCTAGGGGTTCAAAGTACCACTTTTTTCCCCGAAAATAGGGAATAAAGGTACTTTTCGAATCCCTGAAGTGCATAAACCATTTTAATTTGATCGAACGTAACGTATGACGAAACATATGTTAGAGCATCAATGACGTAACTGCGACATTCGATGAAAATTAATATTTTTCAGGTGAAATGAAGAGCGGAGGTACAATTTTCGATCATGTCATTGATAAATGAAGAATGATTGATCATTGTCATTGAAAAATATCGAAGGTTATGTACTTACAATATTCATCAACACAATTTTTAGGTAGCGTCCGTGTTCTTTTGCGATTATCTCGGAATTCATGAAACAGTAGTTACGCGGTTGTTGCTCTTAGCCCTCGAAACGTCATTACAGATTCGTGAAGTATACAAGTACAGTGTGGAGACTAACTGGAATAAATTCGTTAGCGGGAAGGTGAATATTTTTTCTAAAAATTCCCGGCATGCGTCAACGATTTGATGTAATTTTTCTATCTTTTACAAGCAATATCGAGAATATATCCCTCCAGGGGTAGCTGAAATCACCCTCCAGACGATTTTTTCAAATGTAACTCAATGGCTTGTGACCCCTCATTCGAAAGCTGGTGAAAAGAGGAATCCAGCGTATTAGTCAAATTTCAGTTTTTCATACGTTCAAAGGTTGCATAAAATTGAAATATAATTTTGAAATTAAATTTTTTTTCAACGTATCAATCGCTCCAAATGTGTGTTGAACAATTGTTGGCAAATTCTTGCCACAACTGCTATCTGCTATTGTATTCCAGTGTTTCTATGAAGTGGCAAAAAGAAATTTTGTTTTTTGCCATATTCACAATTTGAAACAAAGTGTTATTGCTAACTGGTGGAGATGCCCTATATCACTGTAACATGAAGTAGAAATTTTGATGAACATACGTTGAAAATATATCAAACTTCGAAATTATATTTCGATTTTATGCGACCCCCAAACGTGCCGCAAACTGAAATATGATCAGTACGCTGGATTCCTCTTTCAACCAGTTTTCCAATGAGGGGTCGCAAGCTATAGGGTTGCATTTGAAAAAAACATGTTGGGGTTGATTCCAGCTACCCCTGAAGTGTTATATTCTCCATATTGCTCGCCAAATGTAGGTAAATACATTTGAACGTTGACGTGTCTCGCGAATTTTCAGAAAAATCATTCACTCCCCCAGTAGCGAATTTATTTCAGTTGAAGTCTCCAATCTGGGCACCCTGTATATGTTTTGTGAAAACATTTCAAATCGACTGTGAAATCAGCAAAGTTGACGAATGTCATGTATCACCTAAAACAAAAATTGGCGAAAATCAACTCAAATTATGGTACAAAAGGCGCACCATTATGGTACATGGTTCACAAGGCCAAATTATGATACGGATCCCATACTTATGGTATGGCTGGCAACCCTGCCTCAAACCCAATTTACTTACAGGGGCAAGAAGCCGCACCGACCACGCGGAGGCGGGGGAGGCGGGTCGGTAGTGGATGGCGGGCAGGTTAACAGGCACAAGAAGCGGGTGCGGCAGCCGCACAGTACGCGGGAGAGGCAGAAGCAGATCGCTAGGGAGCACGGGGAGCACATCATGCCGCAGAACACTATATACAGGTACTGTGAAGCCACTCTTTTCCTTGATGTCTTTGCTTCAATTGACACGATTCACGATTATACGTGGTCTCTCTAAAGGAGACGTTTTAGGCAATAGTAGCCCAAGTGAGAAAAAGGCATTTTAACCCGGCGTCACCCAGGTGGAAAATCTAAATTATCTCCCAGGTTGGGTCTGATGAACTCCATAATGGGCGTGTTCACCATGTTTATAAAAATCCTTTTACACGGAAATAATGATTGACGACATAATTCGATCGAAAAATTAACTGGAATGTTTTATTTTTGGACAAATAATAGTACCTTCTGAAAACGGACCCTCTTATGACGTAGAAACCTCATCTCGCCATAGTTCAAAGAAAATACCAAACGCCCGACGGAGACAGCGGCAACTAATATATTAATTCTTTCAACTGTGATCTGGCGCTAATTCACTCTGTCAGAAATCATGTATCATTCATCACTGTCTGGAATAGTCTTGTTTCAGTATTAGGTTTTTGACGTCACATCATCGCCTCGTTTACAGAGGTCCGAAAAATCGGGGATTTCAATAATTTTTTATAAAACGTAGGGAGCTCACAGCAAAAAACGGTTTGCGGTGGTGAGCTAGTTTGGGTGAGTTCTATTTTTTTTTGTGATATAAGCCCATTAGAAACATGAGGAAAAAGAAACATACGGTATTTTTCCAGATTTGTATGTGAGATGAGTTGTTACATGTATTCAATTCATAATTATAAACAGAAACTTTTTATAAGTTACTATCTTGGTAGCTAACTAAAGACTGAATTCACAGCAGATTATCACCACAGAATGAAGTGTTTTGGGAGGCTATAGGCAACCAATGAAATGTACGTGCATTCAAATTGAAATGCCGGTGATTTAAAATTTGTCAGGCTATCTGAGACCCCAGCTGGGCGACGCCGGGTTAAAGATTGGGCATATTTAGGTATATTGCTGTTCTAAAATTGTTCTATTGTTTTCATTCGGTTGCCCCCTTACGAGCAACCCTCAGAAGTCTTCGAGAGTTTTGTGCGAGCAAGGAATGACGGGGGCCTTACCTTTTAACGTGTGATCCCAAACATATGTTTATTATCAGGAATCAGTTGTCAGTCAGTTATAGATATGGTGAAACATTTCAAAATGTTAGTTAAAAGAAATGATGATAGCCACTAATGCATAAACAATTCTCAGGAGTTTTTCTGGGCAGTTTGGGCCACAAATGCGAGAGAAGTTTTAAAGAATATAGAATATACATTTTTATTTCATTCAAAAAATCTTTCCAGAAATGAACCTAATTTTTGTTTCATCTGAACAGTACGCCATAATCATTTATTTTTGTTTGCTTCTTGCCTTCATTGGTTAATATCGTCGAATCAGCAACACATTCAAATATACCAAGTCAGTATTGTCGTCGTCTTGCTCAATAGTTTTATTGAAGTTTTTGATTTTCAGATCTGTTTAAAAATGAAGCAGACATTAACATCCTTGATATTCAATTTCTTATAATTACAAGAAAATAAATGGGCTCCTCAAAGAATATCTCAACAACTGAATTTTATACTGATTATATTCATTAATCTTCATTAGTTTTTCTTCTGGATTAGGTACATTTTTCTCCAGAGGTAGGGCACTTATTACTTATTTCAGAACAACTTTTAGAGGATTGTTTTTTCTCGCAGTTACAATAACTTATACCCAGTCGTCAGGAACCCAAAGGTCATTGAATTTGTATTTATTGATGACCCCATAATCTCTATCTTAGAGAGTCCGGGAACCAGAAACTTGTGGAAAATCTGCTGAATTGGAGTTTTTGATATAATGATCCCAGATGACGGCAAGCTTGATGTTTCTATTGTGCCCTCCACCTCCACCTCCACATTGATCACTATAAATGATTACTTTAGAGGCCTTCACATATTTTTTAATGAAATGCGTTAAACTTACATGAACTTATTTCTTGTGGGCCTCTAAATGCAAAAGACTTGTACTATACATTGAGGGGTTATGAGTTGTGCCACATTGCACATGGGATCTCGAGAAATGAACCCAATATTGGGTCATTATTTATTGCACAAAGCTTTTGACATATAGAGACTTGAACACTGAAGTTTAACCGCCATCTATGAACAACTTTGAGATAATCAGGGTGGCCAACATTGCACATTGAAGTTTAACTGAAGACCATACAGATTTACACTACTCCGCATTTTTGTCAGTTGAGCTACTATTGCACAAAACGCCTCAAATGATCATAGCATCGTAGTGACAGTTGAAATATTCTATTTATTTGTCGCTTTCCATTACAATTTCATGGAACTTTCAGCGGGTTTGCCGCTGAACGTTATGCAAATCCGCCTATCCAGTACTAGCGTGATAATTCCTTTTCCTGCGTTGTCAGCTGTTTTATTCTAAAGAAACATTCAACAAATATTTCCCAATTCTCGAATATGTGACCAATAAAATTGGCAATTCTATAAGTTTATTGCTGACATGATTACTTTTCCAGTAGGTTGAAGCACGTTGTAGGTCCAATCAGCAGCGACACAATTCGGTCTAATCCTCAGTTGTACGTTTATACCCAGGTTTAAACAATCTAACATTTTAATGAACCTAAAATTCTGATGGCATCACTTTGATATCTGTCATAATATGGGTTTATACAAAAAACAAGACCAAATGGGTTTTTAACTGACTTGCTCAGTTCATCAATGACGTTGTTGAAATCAGTTGAATCTTGAAAGTGTTGAATGTTAAAATATCCATGAACCTAAAGAATCGGTTGGGATTGCAACGCTGTTTATATTACTGAATAGTGATTTACCAATAGACGGTCGGCGCGTTATAGTACTTGTGACGTCAGTACCGCTGACGATGTCCCGTCGTGTTCTAATGGAAGCATTTCTTAGGGAATAAGGGCTAACATTTCAACCAGTTGTCGCTACTAACCCATACTGTCAAAAATCCCAAAATTTTGCCGAATAGTCCAAGGCTATGGCCTGTTTTATCGAAAATATTGGGAAAAAATAATGCAGAATATTTGAACAAATGGAAATCCTCATTTTATCGAAAGAGTTGAGCCAACTTACGTTTTTTTAACTTTCAATGTGAAACTTTACGACCAATTGTTACACTGACGGAGAAGAAGAAGTAAATTTATGATTTTTATCAACTCTAACCTCACGTTTCAGCAGCACATTGTGGTGGACAATAAATAATGTTAGCCCACATTTAGTTCGGAAATGTAGGACTTAAATATTAAGAAAAAGTAACATTCGAAAAAAGTCTCTGCCTTTTCTCATTATAGTATTCTTTCTAGAATATAGTGTTCTTGCCTATTGTAAGGTAAATTAAGAATGCTAAAAAATATCAGTTGGTTGATAAACTCATCAAGACGCCCTTACATTTTTGTCGGACAAATATTCACGTTTGTTATATTTTTCCGGGTGAACAGTGAAAGATGCCCCATTCACAAGAAATTTCACAAATTGAAACATTGGTAGACTCTTCAAAAGGGAACTACAGAGAGAAAGACAAGACTTACTATCTTCGTTATATAGAAAGGTTTTAAATTACCTTGTATAGAAATAGTTTTTATGTTATTTCAATGTTTTGTGAATTATGTTGGTAACAGTGTCAAATTGACAATAGGAAGTGTCATTATCAACTGAACCTCTAAATCAAAATTTTCGTGACTGAAAACATATCAAGATGGGGGATATTATAAATACAATATTCATTCTTACTGCACGTTAACTAAACATCCATCATGACCTCAAATCCGGAATTGACCACAGGTAAATTACTTTATTACAAAGGCAAGGAGTGAAAACATATTTTCATTGAAAAACTATAAGTAGCAAGGAAACAGATCACCAGTTTTTCATCCCAAGACCTTTCTATTCTGGATTATCCATCTTCATTTCATGCATTGTTTCAAAATTCATTCAACGAACTATTAATTATTGTGCCACAGTATCTTTGTATCAGATACAATTCGAAAAATCAAAATTTGCTCATTGATTCAATATTGAAATTACATGAAAACATAAAATGTTTCATCAGTTACCTGGAAAACTGAACAGCAGTTAACCATTCTCGGAGATGGATTCCTTTCATACATTAAAATCACTCCATTGAAGTAAGTACACTCCTACGATTGCTTTCGATCGCAGGACCCCACAACAATTGCAACAACAATCCCAAATGCAGCCGCACCTCCCGCCCGAAGACCTCGCCATGATCCCGCACCAGCAAATCCTGCCGCGCCCGCCGCGACCCAACTCGATCGAAATCCGCCGCTCCTATCAGCAAGAAGTCACCGACGGCATACCATCATCACCGACCTACGACGAGAACCCCTACCAGCACGGCATGTACGGCCAAGGCCCGCTCAGTTCCGAATCCCTGTACGCGGGCGGAACCCCAACGCGGGGTGGCAAGATCCGCCCCAGCCAACCGCCTCCCGCACCGCCCAGCAACAACAGCACTCCCTCATCGAACACGCCCACCAGGAATAGAGGTGCGTCCGCCGGCAGGGACAACCTCCCGCCGCCGCCGCCCCCACCCGAAGCCACCATGTCTCCGCCTCCTTCCAACGGCATTCTAGCGCGTGTGGCTAACGACAGTCCGCATTCGCGCACAGCCACGCCCGAACCCTCCGAGCACCTACCGCCGCCGCCTCCCGTCAAGCAGGCGTCCCCGCCTCCAGTAGTCGCTGCTCCGCCCCCGCCTCCGCCGCCGCCACCGATGCCGGCCATGCCCAACGGCGATCTCGTCAAGATGCTGGAATCGTCGCTGCCCAAGCTGACGCCCGTAAAGGACCGCCCGATGGCGAAGCCGCCCGCGGTCGACCCGCGCAACGACCTTCTCAAGGCCATCCGCGACGGCATCAAGCTGAGGAAGGTGGAGAAGATCGAGCAGAAGGAGGTGGAGAGGGGAGGTAACGGGCTGCACGACGTGGCGAGCATCCTGGCGCGAAGAGTCGCCGTGGAGTTTAGCGATTCGGATTCGGGCAGCGAGTCGGAGGACAGCGAGGGGTGGGGGGAGAACGAGACGTCGGCGTGACAGGGGCGAAAGGCTAGCACGGCTGGCCAGGTGTACTGAGACGGTTACAACGAACGGAGGTTAGGGTAGGGTTGTCTTGGAGTTTGTCGATGGTCGTTGCTTTCGGAGTCGGTGGAAGAAGGGATGTGTCGCTGGAGAGATAATGATTTATTATTTATTGATGATTAAAACGAGATTTGGTAACGGCAAACAAATGCCAAGTGGTCGAGTTTCATTGATGATTTATGTTATTGATTATAAAATCCGTCAAAATTGAGTACTAATGAATTTAGGACGTTTTGAGGTCTATAAATAGTGGAATATCTGATTATTGGAATTTATGAAAATTGCCCATGAAAATTGAGGTAAGAAGACCGGCAAGGGATTCAACGGAGATTGAAGTGATCAAAACTCTGAGGTTCTCGTGAATTCACAGTTAGTTATAAAATGGATGTTACTCTGACTGAATTTAGTCTTAATTTACCAGAAAGTTGACTGGTAGGTCCGAGGCATATACCTATTGATCAAAAGTCTGAAATGTATATTAAACTACTATCATCTGATGAATAAAGTATACATCTTTGATTAACCAGCAGAAAGAAACGAAATTGAATATTAAATAAATCCTTAATTCGAAGAACTTTTCAAATAAGACAAAACTTTTAGAACAATTAAGCCGTTGATTCAGGGTGTTTCTGAATTATTAGCACTGTAGAAAACTGCAGTAGGTAAGTTAAAGACATTGGCTAAAAAACAATTTATTTTCAATATGAAGTTATGAAAAAAAAATGTTTTAAAATTCACCACGCTGATTTTTGGCATGAAAAATCTTTGGAAGATAATTCCATCAACTATCTTCTCTTTCTAGCTACCCCAGGTGACGCAGTTGAACGAAACTAACAGAGATTATAGTATATCCAATATCAATTGCAGAATATCTCACACTGTGCGGTGTCGACGTGTTTGAAGTTTCCTTTGAAGTGACTGCAGGTGGGGCACAAGATTCTGCAATTGTGTTTGGAAAAACTATACCTTTCATGTAGCTCAAAATATGAAAATGTCCGATTTTCTAACCTCACAAATCAAACTGTCTTGCCGTGAATGTAGGCATGAACCTCTGGCCACAAACGAAATTTTGGTTATGTTATTTAAACATTTAAGACACGAGAGAGAGAAGATTGAGAAAGAGAGAGAGGGAGAGATAGAGAGTTCATCACTGAACAGTGAATAGGATAGATATCACCTTAAAAATGAATATTATAATGTATCTACCATAAAAAATACTTAATAATTTTTTTTACATTCCAAGGATTTATTTCATTGAATTTATAAAACCATTCAGTAGCACAGCCAACAAAAAACGCTGAAAGAGGCACGAGGTTAAATCCCTCCAATGTATTTTTTCAAAATCATAAGAGTGAAATTGAAACTGAAAAAATGTTGATTGATAAAATGGGATTATTGGATTCAAGCTATTCATTTTTGAATAAACACATCTAAAATAGTTGATAACCGCTTTTAGTTGTTGATGGAGTTCAGGTTGAGAGACAAGTTAATATATTTGAAATCTATCATTATCGGAAAATATTTTTTTGCAAGACCTCATTTCTCATCATTCATTAACAAAAATACATAATTATATCAACCAACTCAGATTCAGATGAATATACTTCCAAGTGACTAATATTTTGAAAATATTGATACTAAGTTTTCATGAAAAAACTTCATGAATAACTGAAGTTTGTATAGACAGGTGTCCGAAATCGCCTCAATTTTACTAAACGTGTTAAATTTTCCATAAAATAAAACATTCAATCCTAATAATTCATCATCTAATTTGCCACTTAAATACATACGTTTTATTGAAAATGATAGTATCAATCTCCACAAATAATCAGTGTCAGAAGTGTAGGTAGGCTATGTCAAGTCACCTATAATGTTTCATCATGGATTTGATATATTTATCTTGATGTATAATTTCAATGTGGTACACATATTCAATGATATTGCATGATATTATCATCTTTGAAATTTTGGTCAGGGACCAGACTGAATATTACCATCATTAAAGCATATACAAGAAATTCCTAATGACATGAATGAAATGTTTGTATGAACTCTTCTTGGGACTCATCCATTATCACCCTGGAATCTTTTAACATAGGTACTTTCAACTTATTGATGGTTAAGAGAATGAACACATTGGTACTTCTTCTGAAAGTAAAAAGAAAATGTGTACACTGTTGGCAAATTCCAAGACTAACAGGATCGAGTTTTTGGTCGGATTATTTTTGCAGGCAAACCGAACGTGGGATTATTTTAGCAGGTAAACCAAACGGGGTTATTTGTTTCAGGGATAGTCGAGTTTTAATACTGGCTTTGTGTGAGGCTTCTTTGTTATGTTTTTTAGAGTTTATTTATTTAATGTTTACTTGTAAACTAGTAAACTTTATTAATTTGGTAGTACCACTGAAATGCACTGGAAATGAAAAAAATCGACATAGGAAAAAAAAATTTCAATGTGATGAACTAGCAATGTGAACACATTTAGTGCATTTTTGATATTGTAAATTATTGTTTCAAATTTGCAAGTGAAATGTATCAAAATATATTAATTTATCAAATTTAACTTTAATATATATATATGTATTCATCATTTCCTGTGTTGAATCATCTGAATTTATTATGAAGTACAATAGCTCATAAGTGGTAACATAGACCTTCCAATTTCAAGATGTCTAGTAAAATAGAATCATCCAAAGGTACGAATGACATTCCCCATTATAAATTTATACACATTTTTTTAATTTGCAGTATATTCTCAAAGCCAGATAAATGTGCCACTCTCAAAATAGCAAATAATAATAATTAAGATTCATATTCAAATTCATTACCTACTATAATTGAATATTATAGGAACATTTTAGAACACATTAACTACAAGATTATTTATTTTGGAAATCATATAGAATTTGTTTTTTAAGTACTGAGCAATGCCAAACTTTCAGTATTATGCTGCCCATTTTTCATTTACCTGTAGTGTTGCCAAATAATCAGTGATATTGAATAAAATACTTATTCCAAATAAAAATGGGGAAAACTTTTGTAGGGCTAGTGCAATGTTGAAAGGTTTACAAAACGATATCATTATTATTTTCATCTGCTGAATTTTTAAAACATGAAATATATTTTTCAAACCTACATTTTTTCAAATTTCAAATCCTGTTTATTTTGTCTTCTCACTCATGTATTATATTAGTCCATTTGATATAATTCATATATCCAGAAAAGGTACTGTACCAGGTGATTCAATAACGGTGACGAGGTACAGTATCTCAGGAACTAATAGTTCATTAAACACGCCTCCTAGCGAGGGCGGTAAGAACCAGAATGGTATGTATGGATCTTTATTTTATTCACCAAACCTTCCTTCCTCGAACCATACCTTTTGTTAGCAATTTATTAGTTCCTGAGATACAGCTTCTCGGTTATCCTTATTGAATCACCTGGTACAGCTCTCAACTTGTACTCGATGTTTTTTGAGGCAATATCTTCCATTGTTGTTCATACACAGATTACTTATGGAAAAAATATGCATTTTGTCTTCATTACAATGGAGCTACAGAAGTTTTTCACTGTAATAAAATGTGAAGTGAGGTACTCCAAAGATGGTTTTATTTCCATGCATGCATGAACCAATTTGAGAAAACTGTGTTCAATCATAGAATTAGATCTATGGTTCAATCAATCCTTAGAAACATTCTTCCACTTCCATCATCAAAAACTGTGTTGTTATTCTGAAAATACTATTATAAATGAAGTCGGAACTGTGAGTGTTATCTTGAATTTCAATGCATTTCATAGATCACAGTATGTATAGCTTGCCTGTTTCTAGTTATTTCATGAGTTTAATATGAAAATCGAAAAGCATTCCCAGAATTTTACAAATCAAATTATTAATTAAAACATGATTGTTATAAGCAGTGTGATGCTTAAATTGAAAGATTCATCCCAGAATTCAGTACAAGGTGTTCCAAGTAATTTTTGATCATGCCAGTCATTTAAAATAGAACCATTTTAAAAGTGTTTCACTTCGAATTTGGAGCAGTATTTGAGCTGAATATAACATTACTGATTTTTGTGTAGCATTCTTAGGAAAATAATTGGAATTTTCAAAGCTACAGAGCATATAATAGATTTTGCTCACTTTTAGTAACAATACAAGGTGTTTACGGAATTGGAGCAGTGGGTAATAAAGAATAAAAAAACAATGAAATTAATGAATATATACACTTACCAGCGAAAAAACCGGCCACCAACAAAATTAGCAAAATTGATCGCCCTAGAAATCATAGACTTTTCTTTCCTAAAATGTTAACCTGAATTCTTGCTACCAAGAAATGCTGATGGGTTGATCATTATACAGGGCGAAACAAAAGTTACTGTCTCATTCTCAACTTCTTGAGGCATTACGGCAAAAGTTAGTGATTAAACTTTGCTTCATCATATTTTGGATGTTGATCACTTACAATATAGACATTGAATAATAGTGGATGTGCAATGATGAGACCACTCATTTTTTTAACCAACAGTTTTTCAATAAATGTATTTCAATTTCGGAAACACCCTGTATTGAAAACTAAATTGACATATTATACCATATTTTTCAGCTGTTATCAGTTAGGAATATACTATTGAAAATTCCAAACTTCATGTGAATTGTGTATAAGTAGAAAGCTTTTTAGTATGAAATATGAAATGTGTAAATACTGTAATGAATGAACATTTTTGTAAACTTTGTATGCTTTTTGTTTTAAATTATAAGGTGTATAGTTATATTTAACTCCTATCTAAATACTCTTTTAATACTCCACCTATCATCAGTCCCCAAAAAATATTTAAATGAGAATACACATTCAGTAAACAGGAATATGGTTTTTTATTTATGTTGCTAAGACATAATCGGATTTTTTTGATTTTTTGTTACTTCTATCTGAAAACTTCAATTTTTCTACAAAGGCTTAACAAAGTAGCCTTTGACGCTTTCATATTCCAACACAAAATTGACGTTTTCTCATAAATGTCCTTCTTTGACAGCATTTGCGCTCATGAGCGGAAATATTGAAAAAACGCTCGCACATTCCTGTAACCTATAATACTAATCTATTCTTGAAAACTCCCAATTCTCTCATGATGAAAAATAGTGACAGTGAACTATCAAACACACCTCCTGATATAACAGAAAGTGCAAAAGTTTGAATCTCTTACCAGAGAAATCAAGGTAGAAATATGAGTTACAATATGATACATTCATATATTGGTGCCACTTCAAGAAGGTGTATAAGTATTCAGAAAACGTTTTACTGGTGAAAAATCGAAAACTTTGAAGTTATCAACTCTGGTCTCTATATATTCCATGATACCTATACATTAACATGGCTACAAGAATGTTAGGAATAATATCGAAATCAATAAGTATCCGAAACTCATCGCATTTTTCAAGAAACAATCTATTGGATATGCGAAAAAATCCAAAACATTCACCGCTGAAGATATAATATACCAACAAATTTCTACAATCAATGAAGAATATCTGTGAAAAGTAAATCATACTTTATATTCAAACTCTTCTTTCTTTATTTCATTGCGTCAATGAGTAATGTTTAATTTGATTGCAGAGTTTATTGTACTTTGGCTCAGAGATCAATTCTCACTTGGCCGGACATTTTTTTTCTAACTTGTCAGTTATTTTCATTTTTTTTTTGTTTTCGTTAGACACATGGGATAATGGATAATAACTATTTCAATCACTGATACTTCCAGGGCAGCTATCTCCATAAGCTGCGTTTGTAGAAAAAATCTTGTGTGTATTTGGAGCACAAAGTGTTATTGCCGCTTTCCAAAGATTACCGCGCTCCGCTCTGCATCGTGCGGTAACTTTCTCTGTCGAGCGGCAATGGATCACTTTGAGCTCTAAATACACAAATAGCTATTATGTTATCTTCAATTCAATTCATTATTTCAAATATCAAGAATCAAGTAGGATTTTGTTTTCAGAGCTATGCAAGAACTTAGCTTACACTTTGCAATATACAAAATATATCACTTTGCATCTATGAAATAATTGTTTGCATGCCATTGAGCAAAACAAATTGGATCACCAGCATTATGTAACCCCTCAAACCAGAATGTATATTCAGTAATAATAGTACAAGGTGTGCCAAAAGAAGTCATCCAAAGATGTTGTTTGGCTCTCATTTTTTTTTTAATGAAAAGAGAACTTTCTTATCTCTTGTTCAAGGTAGAAAAGAGCTCAATTGAATGTTCTGATTGGTTTAAAATCAAAAGAAGAAGATAATCACTTATAGGCATTGACTCATTGTTTCTAGTTTTCTACTGGTAGTCCACTACCATCACTACCCTGCAAATCATGGATGGTAATAAGGCATTCTGATGGTAACATATTTATAATGATTATTCAAGTAATCTTCAACATTGCAAAATTTCTCCAATGGATGAGTTTTCCCACAGTAGCAAAATGCTTTTTTGAAAACTAATACTAGGTCACTGTTAAGAATTTGCTTGACTAGTAGGTGATTTATAGCAATCAGTGCCTTTTTTATTGAAAAAATCATTTCAGTGTATGCTAATTTAATGAGGTAGGTCATATTGGAATTTCAGTTGAGGGCAATGGTGTAGGTCACAGCTATTTGAAATTAGCTGTGGTTTGGCATTTGTGATATGGAACAATAATTACACAAAAAAGTTATGTTTTCAGAATCTATAATTATGAGGTTCTCATTGGAGGTGAAACTAATATAACTCCATCACCTCTTACAAATAACATTGGAATATTTCTTTTAGTGGTTCTGTATACTTCTTCATAGGTTTCTTCATCAATTTCCACAGTGGTAATTGTTTCTTCAGCATCACTGAGTATCATATTCATATGTTGATCATATGCCTTGAAAGATAAGCAACAGTTTATCATTTCATATTTTGTAGGTGCACAAAATAGGAACAAATATAACAGAGATGACAACAGGGTATCTTCCTCTTGAAGAGTCTAATTTCATGTGCAAGCAAATTTTTTCAGGAATGAATCAGATGTTTGGTCTGTTTCAATTTAAATTGTGAACCTTTTTTTTATCTCTTGGAGCACAAGAAAGAACATTCCTATGATGTTCATGCAGTTCAAAGTATGAAGAACATCCTAAATACCTAGGGAGGATAGGGATTGGAGGGTAGGTGTTGATAATGTAGATAGTTGACCTAGGTCAGGTTGCAAAATTCCAGCTAAAACTCCTAGCAAGCCTCCAGTGAATGACCTCTAATCTCCAACTATTAGTAATAAGTATGATAGTTTAGCAGTCAACAAGTTGATCTAATTATTTTTATAGTTGTTTATAATACAGTCTATATATCTCACAAATCTACTTACATGTAGTCTACCTCGAATTTCTCTATCATTTCTCATTTTTACATAGATTCTCTCATCCAAACTCAATCTCACCAGATCTAGGGGTTCTTTGACAGTAACTGCAGGAATCTACAAAAGTTCACCTATTGTTAATATCACAATATATTGAAGTTAATGTTACATTGTGTTACATTTTCCAAGTCGTCTGCCATTTCACAAAATTTCCTCAAAACTCAAAATACCGGGATCAAGACACACAAGCCGTCCCTTTTCCAGTCTTCCAAAATCCCAAAATTCCCAAACATACAAACATATCGCATAACCTCAAATCCAAGTCAAATCTTTTCGAAACGACTTTCTTCTTTTTATTTGTCTTATGCTCTTCTTCTTTTTCTTGTTTTTTAACGTTGACATCCTCTTTATACAATGCTCAAGATGACCGGTGAAAAACCAGAAGAATATTTTATACTGCTCCTGAGATGTTTATAAGTTGCTGCTCATAAGCCATGATACAAGGAATACTACATGTATCCATGTATCATGCTCCTAAGCTGCGCCCTTTCTTACCATATGGAGCCGGCTACCATCATATCCCACAGCCCACAGGTCCCACGTCCAGGGCCGGATTAACCCTTTCAGGCCCCCTAGGCAATGCAATTCTCGGGGCCCCTCTCCCCCTTTTTAACGGTTTTTGAATTTTTGATACACATTTTTTCTATAACAAAAGTCGAGTCGATCAGATCGGCTCCTTTGGTATCCTAAATACTTCAATCTTTCGTGTGATATTGTAACAACATGGTAACCTTGAATTGATGCTACAGCATCACCCCACATACCTGAACAAAACAGCACGTTACAAAACAGCGCTGTAACAGATCGAAATAGCGCTTATTCCCGTTGTAATTTCATATGTTTGAATGTTTTCACATTTCCAACATATCTCATTAGCCATCATACCTATCTATTATAGTGATTGATTATCCAACTTATCAAGCGAGTCAGTCGTTGCGTCGTCGTTGCTGTGAAAAATAAATTCTCCAATAGTAACATGGATATACGTCATTCGATGTTTCAATTCGACAACAAGCACCTATTGCCTGTTATCAGTGGAAAAATTACGTGATATAAGAAAACTGATACAATTGAAAGCTCGTTTATTTCCTGTTTCTACCGAGGTTTCTACTTGGAATATATATATTTGAACGCATACAAAAAAATTGTCATCCATCCACCCATATCGTTTTATAAATTGATTATAATCATGTGAAAAAACGGGAGAATCGTGATCATGGGATGGACCACGAAATAGAAATGAGACGCGACGCGGTTATATAAGGATTCGGGAATAAAATTGAGGGAGTATACACATTTTCAAAAACAAACTCGTTCAATGAAACCATTTTTTTTTGTTCGTGCACGGGGCCCCTAGGCAGATGCCTAGTCCGCCTTATGGATAATCCGGCCCTGCCCACGTCCCAGGTAGCACATCACAAGTCATTATATATACAGGGTGTATCTAAATAGCATCGAAAAAATTCAAGAGATGATTATTTGTGATATTTTAGGAAATAATTTCACATAAACAAGTGTCTTTGTTCTCGAGATACAGGGTACCTATTAATATTTCCATGAATTATTTTTTTTCTATTCATTTATCAATTGTCTTTTCATCAATTTCAATAAAACGTTGTGATTTTGTTAATAGTAATATGTATTATCCGTAATATGGAGCTTCTTCAAGTGCAATTAGATTCGAGATAATATTTCCAGTGGCGTCACATCAGTATGGGTAAATTTATCGATATTCATGGTGAATGTCATTGTACGCCACCGGTTTTTCTGAGTTTCATATTTTTATCAGATTGAACTATTGAAATATCAACTTTTTTATGATTGCATGCGTGATTTTTGCATCTAGCTCAGTTTTTGAGGAAACAATAAAAATTCGGTTTGATTTCTTTTAATGTACTCCAATTAGAATCATTTTGTAATTATGGGGCTTTCTCAGTCTCCATCCATACTGAATTCAGGCACCCTGAAAGCTTATACAGGGGGGTTATTGATAAAAACAATTAATACTTCCAACTTCAACATCCTGGGTTATCTCTAAAACGGAGCAAGTTAGGACACATGTTTATATATGAACTTTATTTGCTAGAATATATCACAAGGGAACACCCCTTGAATTTTTTCGGTGTTATTCAGATACACCCTGTATAGTTATTAACGTTACAAGGCCGATATGTATTTATATGTATACAGGGTATGTCACAAAACGAGCTTATCTAAAATCAGTCGGGAGAAATCCAAGAAAATATGCATGCTTATACTTTAGGATACGCTCACTTCATTTAAAATATTTTGGACAACGCAGTGTTGCCGCTTCTACTAGAAAATAGGAGCAACATTGATATTTCCAATGGAATACCCTATCTGTATTTCATCGCATTTTCAGATTTTCCCTGAAAAGCTGATTACACAGATTTATCACCCTTGGGGTCTATCGAAAATGATTGCAGAGATATAACGGGTGTTCAAAATCGAGATTTTTCAACTTTAGGATTTTTTTGTGTCGAAACTAGTGCCGGTTTTACCAGGGGTCTTTTGGGTGATATAGCACCAGGTGGCAAAATCTTCAGGGCGGCTATATGAAAATACAACTTCACATCTTTTGTCATCAGTCATTATCTGGTTATTTTGATTTTTTACGCGAAAGATTTGATCACTACACTTCCTAAACTGAAATTTATGTTAAGAAGTGAATCATCCCAAGAAAAGCACAATTAGGAGAAAAAATACGGCAAAAGGTTCAAACCAGAGAGACAAATGGCGGACACAGTGTTTTGTTCAAAGTTGCAAATTTGAAATTTTCCGTCGGACTTCCACATACAAATCTTGTTCAGAATCATTTGACTTTCTGTTCAAGATAGTGTCAGCAGAGGATGGAAATTTGATCAAATTGGCAACTAAACTACAAAAAAAGTATTCAGAGGATCTGGACAAATTTGTTTCTGACGAATGTTAATCATCTGAAAAAAAAGTTTTCTCTCCTATAGAGACTAAAGCAGAAACTCCTATATTATGGAGTTAGTCCAAGTTCTACACGAGAATAATGTGACTTATCTTCTTTTCCCAATATGGATATTTGTTTTCGAAATTTTTGAGCTAACAATTTTGTCTAAACTCAAACAAGATCCACTAAATGAAACAAAGTTATGGAGCTTGTGAAGAGAATCATACATTAAGGCTTGCATTGAAGGAAGAAAACACATTTTTGTATTGTTAGTTTATTAGTCTAGTCGAAAAATCCAAAAAAGGCCTCCATTAAAATTTTAGAAGCATTTCGTATTACTTTTTGGCAAAGGGTGTTTTTCTACTATTTCGACCCTGCTGATTACGAAAATGCCGGTTGCCAAAGCGAAATCGCAACCGGAAGTGAGATATTCAAGATGGCGTCCGAAATGGCATCAAAACCGAATTTTGCCGCTAAATCTCCCTTGTTTAAGGTAGGAAAGCGACCAAAGGGTATTTTATTTATGTTTTCAGACCTAACATGACTAAATGGAATACACACAATGAATTTAGCTCACATAAAAACATCGTTTCAATAAGAAGCAGAAGCAGATAGTTTATCATCAAGGGAAGTCAATCTTGATGATCTCAGAGAATATGTGAGTTCTCCGTCTCTTCTGAAATATTTGTCTTCATTTTTAAAAAATAGATCAGAAGCAGACAAAAACTTTAAGCTTTGGTGGATGTACATAGATATGGTTTTGACTCTCCTCATGTTCACAAGAGGTATTCGGGCTGGAGATTGGGAAAGCTATCGTGGTTTCCTCTCGGACATGCTTCCTTATATAGCTCTCTATGATCATGGAAATTACCTAAAATCTCTATCAGTGTACATTGCTGACATGAACCAATTGCCACTTGAAGTGGAGGCCGGCTTTCGATCTGGCGACTTTGCTGTGTTAAGAACTAAGCAAAAATTTTGCCAAGTAGATCCAGATCATGCACAGGAATGGGTTGTTGGCACATGCAAAGATGCGTCTGGTGGCATTCTGGGCATAACACAAGACGTCAGAACATTACAGCGATGGGCTCTGTCTCTTCACTGGAGAAGCAAAATTTCGGAGCAAACATAAAATTTATTTAAAAAAACCCCAAGTGAGACCTGTCACAGAGAAGAGACACGTGGAAGACGTGCTAGAGATGCACATGATGAAAACTCAATTTTACAGGTTATGGAAACATATAATCTTGCCACTGTAAATGAATCTAATGTACTGCACAATGTTGCCACTAAAGATGTAGCTACAGCAGAAATTTCTGATGCCTTCTGACTGCGAAGCAACGGGGCATAGTACTAGTTCAAGACTTCGTTTGTCAAAGGCTTGTTAAAAGTCCTGAAAGTTGCAAGGTTACAGTTAGCTACCATGCCACGATACATAAAAACAACACACTTACATTTGCTAATCTGTACACAAGAAAGACAAGTCAGGATGCTCACAACAAACAAGTATTGCAAACGGACAGAGACTTTCTCCGACTGTTGATATCTGCATTTGACGGCGGAAGAAAAATAGACCTGAAAAAAATTTTTAAGCATGAGCTCTGTCAGGTGCCTATTTCATTAGCTGCGTTAGATGGTGAACTCCAAACAGCTGAAAAAGGATCCTTAGTTAAAGAAATAGTGAAAGGAATTGAGTGCCCAAAACATCTGCCTGAAAATGATAAATCAGACGCTATTCTGATAATTGATGGCATGGCATTTGTCTTGTCTTTGGGCCTTCCAAACCAAGCTGAAACCTTCGGGGATTATGCTGCCTGCTTCATTAAAAGAATACTATATTATGGATACAAGTACAAGGAAGTTCACGTTGTCTTTGATAGATACCGTACACAGTCAGTTAAAGTTGGAACGAGAAAAAAAAGAGCCAAGGGTTATGATGCTCCTGTGCGCAGAGACATTGAGGACTGCAACGTGCCGCTGCCAAAGAACTGGAGTAACTTCTTGTTTTTATCAGAAAACAAAACTGATTTATGCAGGTTTTTGTCCGAGAGAATTATGCAACATAACTTTGGCGATCTTGAAGTAGTTATCTCCGGCGGCTTCACTGAGGAAGAACATGCTCAGTCCACGAATTTGCGTCGGAATGTTGATTGCCTGAAATCATCACACGAGGAAGCTGACACGCGCATGGTTCTTCATGCCGTTCACACCACAGCTCATGACGTTGTTGTGATGACGAGGGACACCGACGTTGTCCTTCTTCTTATCTACCACTTCGCTAAAATGAAATGCTCCCATTTGTGGGTAATGAGTGGCACTGCATGTGACACC